GGGCTGAGGCGGCGGCTTCCCCGCAGGCAGCACGCCGCTGGGCTGCTACAGGAAGCTGGTGGAGTACTGCCGGAACGGGGACCTCTCCTTCAAGTACGTGAAGACCTTCAACATGGACGAGTACGTGGGTGAGTGCCCGCACACGAGAAGTGTTTGGCTGTCGTTATCTATTTTGCTGTATATTATGTATCTCTCTCTGTATAGTGTGAATGTCCGGTGACTGAGGCAGGGCTGCCAGCCTGCTAGAGGGGCTGATGTGCCCCCTGCACTCGGTACCGCAGCCGGACAGTCTTCTTAGTGCATGGTGGGTGCAGAAAATCCCACCTGCAGAAGATTTAAGGTAGGAAGGATAAAATCTGCATTAGCCACGGGAGTTAACAGGGACAATTTTAAAAGCTATGTAAGAAATATTAAAGAGTATCGGGTGTTGCCTGGTATTATACGCACTAGACACTGCTGTATTTTACCTGAACTTAGGTATTGATCAGCTAAGGATCCATCTTATCATTGCAATCTGAGATAGTGTGCAATATTGACTACCACCTTTGCTATGGGAGTATAAAGGTCACTTTAGCTCCAGGTCTCTTGTAAAGACCGATGTGTTACCTTTCCGAGTGCCCTTCCGTAACCGATGCGCACTCCTGTTAAAATAGCAGAGGACCGTTTCGGTTACGAAGCTGTGATGAAACAGCCTCTTCAGAAGAAGAGTACAGGGAGATTAGTGGGCAAGCCTAAAGCTCCAAAGGTGAAAAACGTATAGGCTAAATATTTGCTAATGCTAATTTTACTCTGGCCAAGAAGTTTTTCTGTGAGCAATCTTAATCAAGCAGCATTAGGCAATAGGCAGTCCAGTGAGGGTTTATAGCATTCAAGGGGAAAAAAATTATGCAGTAAGTTATTTCCCAGGCTTCTGCAAGGTTTTTTAATCGTTTTTGCTAACACAAATTGGTAGGAATGCTGAAAAGGTAGTAAGAGATGAGGCACAGTGCATGCCTGCTTTTCTGGAACATCCGTTGCATGTTTGTACGAGCATGTGTCTTATAGAAGACATTGTGATTGATTTGATTTTGCTATTTAGGGAAATAAAAACAACTTATGAAAGTTGAGGGAGTCATAAATGACGGAGAGAGAAAGCAGTGCCCTATTACCAAAGCCACTGCAAGGGTGTATAGGTGGTTTATGTTATGTGTGATATTCTTCCAGTTGGTCTTAGTCCTGTGTATGCTCTGTTACCAGGTCTCCCAAGGGATCACCCGGAAAGTTACCATTCCTTCATGTGGAATAACTTCTTTAAGCATATTGACATCTCAGCAGAAAACGTTCACATTTTGGATGGAAATGCACCTGATCTACAGGCAGAGTGTGATGCATTTGAGGATAAAATCAAAGCAGCTGGAGGAATTGAACTCTTTGTTGGAGGTGAAAACCCAAAGGACTAGCGGTCTCTAAACACTGGCAGGAAGCACTGCCTTTCCTCCACCAGCTATCTCACTTATTATCAGGAGAGTTCATTTTCAATGCAGTTCAGTGGATTTGCAGTGAAAGCCAACCCATACACCACCGCTCTGGGCGCTCGTGTGCTGGCAGCCTTGTCTTCCAATGTACCGCTCCCCCAGTTTTAAGTATTTCAATCCAGTAAGTGAATTGTTCAGGAAACGATTAGCAGGAGAAACAGGCAGGGCTAGAATTGTACCGAATACAAAATGTATTACAATTGCCAGTGCTAACAGGAAAGCAGAAGTAGTCAGAGTCCTCTGAGCCAACAGGAGCTTAACGCAAGCTTTTCTCATCAGTTTGCCTTAAGATTCTGCCATCTACTTGTTGTCTTGTTGTCCCAGCACAATTAGGGAAGAGTCTTCGTTGACTTCAGCAGGGGCTTTTGCTATCATTCCTACCAGAAGCAAATTTAAGCAAGTGTTTTTCTCAGATCTGTATCTATTCCTGAAGCACTGAATGTCCTTCTAATAGTCCTGCTGGTTCTGCTTCCTACAATAACCATTGCAGCCACTGACCTACTTCTCGTACTGTCTCTGTCACAGGTATCGGCCCAGACGGTCACATTGCCTTCAATGAGCCTGGATCAAGTTTGGTATCCAGGACGCGAGTGAAGACCTTGGCTATGGACACTATATTGGCTAATGCCAGGTTCTTTGATGGTGACCTCTCCAAAGTCCCCACAATGGCTTTGACGGTCGGAGTAGGCACTGTCATGGATGCCAGAGAGGTTAAGAGAAAAGCAGTGACTTCATACAGTAGCTCTTGAGCAGGGTTTCCTGGAGCAGCTAAAGATTATCCAGTCTTGGAGCAGCATTGCACCCTGCTGGCGTAGGCCAGCTTATGCTTTTCCTGCCACGGGCGGCTGAATACCTGATCCTCCTGTTCTCTTGCATCCTGCAACACTATGGAAATGCTCTTGCTCCGTCTTCCATTTTTGCTTTACTAACACTTACATTTGTATAACCCTGCAGTGCAGTTGTGATCCACAGGGAGCTAGAAAGGTTTGGGAGGATGTCTTTGGTTGAGAATCTCATCTGGGGAAATAGAATCATAGAATCACGGGTTGACTTGATGTTACACCAGCAGATTATGAAAACTGTATGGGATAACTTTTAATTGAGTCTATACCTTGATTTATACTTGTTAAGTCTCAGCGTATAGGTGTCTAACAGGAGAGCTCAAAGGATCTGAATCATTACAATGACCCACCAGGCTATGATTTAATTGACAAATAAAATGCAGCCAGAGCAAACAGAATTGTGATATAGTGAAGTGCCTCTATGGAGGATGACAGAGATGTCCCCCTGTTGGGGACCGGGGCAGTGCTTTCTGAACATGACTTCTAGACCCTAACTGCCATCCTCTGTGTCTTGGAGTCCAGGTGATGATTCTTATCACAGGAGCCCACAAAGCCTTTGCTTTGTACAAAGCCATTGAGGAAGGTGTCAACCACATGTGGACAGTATCTGCTTTCCAGCAACACCCCAACACTGTGTTTGTGTGCGATGAGGATGCCACGCTGGAACTCAAAGTTAAGACGGTGAAATACTTTAAAGGTGAGTGTTTGACCAGACCAAGCAGCTGTTGTATTTAGTTTTTAAGTGGCAAAAGCCATGCTTTGCATTTTATGTTTCTGTTTAATCAACTGCCAAAGGAGTACATTCCTTAAATATAACAGCTGAGATGTACAGCCATAATAAAAGCGTAAAGGTAATGCTTAACTGTGTGGGCATGGGAGCAAAGGAACAAGGACTCTAGCAACGCCTAATTTCATTAGCATCCAGTGAATGAGAATTTTGCTTTATTATGTCTACTTAAGTCATCTTTTTACTTGCTACATTAGGTTTAATGCTGGTTCACAACAAGCTTGTGGAACCCTTATACAGCATGAAGGAGGCGGGAGCAGAAAGAAGCCAGTCTAAGAAGCCATACAGCGATTAA